ACATATGTATGTATACATTTCGGTTTCAGGTTGAACTGAAAGATGCTGTGGCCGAGTTGCCGAGCGGCTTACAAAGCAAAATATCAGAGGGTGGCAGTAATTTCAGTGTCGGTCAACGACAATTGGTATGCCTGGCACGTGCTATACTGCGTGAAAATAAAATTCTCGTGCTGGACGAGGCAACGGCAAATGTGGATCCACAGACCGATGCACTCATACAATTGACAATAAGAAGTAAATTCAAATATTGTACGGTTCTCACAATTGCGCATCGYTTGCACACGGTCATGGACTCGGATAAGGTGCTGGTCATGGATGCTGGGCGCGCGGTGGAATTCGACGCACCGTATAAATTGCTGACTGAAAGTAAATCTAAAGTATTCTATGACATGGTCAAGCAAACCGGCAATAGTGCGTACGATAATCTACTCATGATAGCTCGAAAGGTGAAAATAAACTCRATTTTTTAATGTTGAAGAAATTTTGACCAATTAATTTTCTTCTTTGTAGGCKTACGAACAGAATCCTCGCTTCAAAAATAAAACTGTATAGAGTTACAGGAATAACAGTCACAGCTAACAGGACGGTTTGTCCACTCAGGAAATGTTTCCATATTTAACTAGTGTACTACTTCAAACTAACACTGCTGACTAAAATTTGGCATTTGATTAGCCACTTATTAGTCATCAGTAAAATTTATTTATACACATTATAGGAAATCGGTGAATTTGATGGTAACCAAAAATAAAATTGTTCAACTGACATAAGACAATATATAACATAGGCGTTTTATGTTAAGGCTATATGAATTTTACAGTAATTAGTAATTTTAAGAGGAATGTATATATTTATATTTTGGAATGTCTGTGAATATATTATCGGTAAATTAATAGAAAATTGCAAAGTATAATATATTAATGAAAGCTTAAAATATGTACTTATTATATGTTTTTAAAGAGAATAACTAACATCTTTGTGCTGTAAATATGTTATTAAAGCATTTATATACATATACAGTCGTTTAAGTATTAATAAATTGATATATCCGAAGTTTCAGGACAAGTCTTATTACAAAATGTACAAGTTTACTTGTACTATGCTAAGAAAAATCAATAAAAGTAATTCAATGATAAAATAAGATACATATATGCATGACTTGAGTTTTTTGTGCATAGTTAGGTGGGCTCAAGGCAAGCTGTCTGGCAGCTAGCTCTATATAAATAAAGGAGGCATCGCGCCTGGCCAGTGCTTAAGTGACTATCACGCCGCGATGTGATGTGCTTAAAAGTCGTGCGGTGAGCTCATAGCAAGCTGTCTGCCAGCTATCTCTACATAAATAAAGGAGGCATCGCGCCTGGCTAGTGCCTAGTGAGCTCACGGCAAGCTGTTTACCAGCTATCAGTATATAAATAAAGAAGCTATCGAGCCTGGCTAGTGCCTAAGTGACTATCACGCCGCGATGTGATGTACTTTAAAGTCATGAGGTGAAATTTAATCTGTTCGCTTCAGCATCATGCAATAAAACTAAACTTATCCTCAAAATTATTGAAAAAATAGTAATAGCATAGAAAAAATTAATTAATTTAATTAGGTAATTCGAAAGGTTTGGCTGACACGTACGGATTTCAAAAACGTAACTTATTGCAATATGCACTTATATGTTTTTTCTTACCATTATTATTATATTAGGTAACTTTGAACGTAAGTGAAAACTTACAAAAAATAGCAGAAAAACTCACTTAATGCGAACTACGTCACATTATTAAATATTTATTTGACATTCTACCTTCGGAAAAGGCGGTTATTTTAACCTATGCTACACAGAGTGCCACAAACTAAAAACTTAAATAATAGCAATTATATTTATGTACTAAATTTCTTTTTAATTAAATTAGATTTCACGTTACCTGTTGTTTTCTTCTATCTGTGTTCCATTGGCATGCTTATTTAATTACAAAACATCGTATTGTAAACAATATCAGCTGTTTGTGTACTTTTTGTTCGGTTTTTTAACATTGGATAACAATGAATACAAGTATTTCAACGAAATCTTTTATACGCGTTATCAGCACACAAAACTGCTTGGCTAAACAAATACCACGTAATCTTAAGGGGAGGAGTAAAAGTTCACAAGAATGGCTGACACGACAACTAGCAGATCCATATGTGGAGAAAGCTAAAATGATGAATCTTCGTTGCCGCAGCGCTTTCAAACTCATAGAAATAGATGATAGATTTAAAATRCTTAAACCAGGCGATACTGTGCTTGATTGTGGAGCAGCACCCGGAAGCTGGACGCAAGTAGCGGTTGATCGTACTAACGCCAATGGCACCAAAGAGGGTAATAAGAAAGGTGCAGTTTTTAGCATTGACTTGTTACATTTTCATGCAGTGACGGTAAGCATTTTATTATAAGACACCTTGATATTAATTTGTTCAATGCGTATTTAAAGGGTGCTACTATTTTCGGAGGCATGGATTTCACAACCGCCATAGCACAACAGCGTCTTCGGGAGGCATTGGCAGACCGACAAGTGAATTGTGTGCTCTCAGACATGGCACCTAATGCGACGGGAGTACGCATGTTAGATCAGGAGAATATAATGGGCTTAAGTTATTCGGTGATGCGTTTTGCATTGGCAATATCTGCTATAAACGCACATTTAGTAGTCAAGTTGTGGGCGAATGGCGATGTATCCAAACTGGAAAATGATCTTGGACGATTTTACGAGCACGTTAAACGTGTAAAACCAGAGTCAAGTCGATCAGATTCTGCTGAGCTCTTTTTAGTGGCACGTCAATATAAGGGAATGGATGCAGTAAAAGAGCTAACAACAAAAACTAGGTGAACTTTGGTTAAKCTTTCTTTATTATTTAATATTGTTAACAATTCAAATTTTTTGGATGAATAAAGTAATAAAATAATAATTTTTAAAAAATATTTATAAGTATTTATGTGCGAATTTGTGCGCACCTATTATAAAAATTTATACTACTTTTTTGTAGTGCGTTAAATGATGAATCATCCATTCCAGCCACTTCGGTTGATCACCAGGCGCCATATGCCCAGCATTGCGCACCAATATTTCAATCAAATGACCGGCATGTTTGGCATATCCTGCAATTTCACCGTCCACCCGCCAGACTTTACGTTCTGCAGTTTTATATTTATCGGCATCTGCGAACTTAAGGTGCATCAAGTAATTACGTGTCAAAGGATATGCCACTATTATATCAAGCTGTCCACTATAAATACAAACAATATAGTCATTTAAAAGTTCTGCTATCCATGGCGCTACCGTGTCCATTACATCTTTTTTCAADAACTTCTCCACTTTATTTTCTTTATCTAAATCATGGAATGTCATGTTGCCTACGTGAATGGCTCGGCGTGTTGCTGCCGACTGAATAAAGTTTCCAAGCACATCATTCGGCAAGTCGCTGTCAGTTTTTAAATAGTTGTAGTAATAGTTATATCCAGTAAGGTTATGAAAAACAGATCCATTGGTAAGGTCACCATTGATAAGACCATCAAATACCTCAAAGGCACAATCCATATGGTGTTGTTCTATACATTTTTTACCTTTTTCTTCCTCAATATGAAAGGCGTTCAAACCACGATCATCGATTAAACCCAATTGATATAAGTAATCACCATATTTGAGTTGATGCAAAGGATCAGAGAGTCCATTACCAATGGCTAAACCTTTTAGCGGGATATAGACACGCGTGTCCACTGCATTTTGCATCAAGTGAATATGATAAGCAAGTGCTGGTACATATTTCCCTGCATAAGATTCTCCCGTTATCCAAAAGCCAGTAGAATTTGACCATTCAAAAAGTTCGTATAATTGCATAACGGCCTCGTGTAGGTTACGTCCGACATCTTTTTCATTGCGAGCGTAGCCATCATCGCTGCCGGTAAAGCTAAAACCTGTCCCAACTGGATTATCAATATAAATAAGATTATGCGAGCGACTCCAAGTATAATTGCGTTTTTGTAGATGTCCGTGTGAATCAAACTCAAACGGTCCATTTTCTACAAATAAACCAAATAACGAAGATGCACCCGGTCCTCCTTGCAACCACAAAACTACGGGAGCATAATCAGGATATTCCTCTGCGGGGAAATACCAAAAGAACATATTTGACTTGCGTCCCGCATCCACTGTTAAATAGCCGGAATAGCTTTCCACTTTGTGGAATTGACTGCCAACGACTGCTGCTTTTTGCCGAACTTGATCGTTGGGTATTTTTGGATCATGTATAAGTGGGGTTAGATAAAGTGGGTCACCAGTATCGCCTCCATCACTATACTGCTGGAATCGTGGATATGGATTTATAAAACTTCTTGCAAACTTTAATTTCTTTGAATCGCCCTCCATAAAAAGTGATAAAGAAATGAGGGCGAATAGGGCAACATGAATTGCGTTTTTCATTACTGACGCACCTAAGGAATACAAAAATGTTAAGTAGGGGAATCCTACAATTGCTTTGATTCTTTTATGATACTATATAAATTTAATGACTTTGTGTACATAAGTAAGTAATATTATATAAGATTAAATAACGCACCTACTTTTATCTCTGCACTTGCTAGTAAAATAAAAATATATTTTCGCAACAAAGATCGACGTCGAACTTGGCAAAGTTTAAAAATTAAACTAACGCGATGTAGAAAAGAAAACCGGTAAAACGATGTTCAACACTGGTCAACTGTAGAGTTGTATTAAAATTGTTTGTGGATAATATGTAGTTAAATATGTACTATCGTGATACTGTGATTTATACTCAAATATTTTATAATTAAAATTTGTATATMAATTTCTGGATATTAAATTTTGCAAAGACATTATTTGATACCAACAAATTTTACTTCTCTTGCCTGAGTATTTAGAGATTTGAGTGTGAATGATGTCTTCATTTTATGCGACACAGCAACACTATTTCTTTATGATTCTTTCATATCGTTTCTTCTTATRTTGCTCTTTCAGTTTATTTGACAATTTCAATTGGAGTTCAACAATGGCGAATTTTTCTAGATTTTTTAACTTCTGAAGAAATATATGTCGTGGCAAATTAAATAAAACGTGATTAAAATACGGAAAATGTATTGTTAATTACATGCACAAAATATATATTAAAACAGTGATGAAAGTAATAAAGTGTAAAAAGTGGGGAAAATAGAGTAAATTTTTGGAAAAGAAAATGAAGTGTCGGTGGTTGRTGATGTCGCGGTCGTGGTGGAACGTCGCAGTTTGTTTCGAATTGTGTGTTTTGATTGCATCAGCCGCGGTGTCGGCAAAAACACCAGTTAAAAGTAAAATAAATGTTGTGGCAAATGCACAAAATTTAACACAAGAAAATGATAATCGTAATATTACAAAGGGTAATGTCGCATCCGACCAATTACGCGCATATCGTATGAGAGAGGTAAGTGRTTCTTATGATGATGAGGTGAAAAATAGATTAATGCAGTGGCGCCATGGATTARTATAACTTAATAAAATGCATGTACTATGTTTCTATTGTCATCCAATAGGCGTGCACTGATTTGGCCCGAGATGAAGAAACGTTAATGGTTTTCTCGACATTAGGGGGCGGATTAACAGCAATTGATCCAATAACAAGTGAAATTCGTTGGACCATAGCAGACGGTAATTACTAGTAGCGCTTTGTAAAAATATTTTACTATTTTTTCAGTTGCTAAAAAAAGGATTTTATATATATCAACGAGTTAAGTGATATTTTACTATATGGCTGAATTAATTATAGATTTTCGAACYCCTCATGGTCAGCTGTTATTTTCCCACAATTAAAAACATGTCATACTGATCAATTTCAGTTTAAGGACTTTCAAGCACACTTTTTTATTCATATACGTTTGTATATGCAATTCTCACTTTTTATAGCCAATAACTAGTAACTTGCAGCAAGCTTAACAATCTGTATTTGTCTCCCTAAAAACGAAGTGCATAAGGTGTAGAGATTATGAATCCGMAATTCTTTTGTATAATTACGGTTTTATATACATTTTTGTAGGTTTTATGTATGTACGTACTTTAATTTGTAGAAAAGTTTGCTCTGTTCTATGCATATTTTCGCTWTGACAAAAAATGTCATGTGTTTTTCTGCAGCCTAAACACAAACACAGAAAACAGATTTTTTAATTATTATTTTTATTTTATCGTAAGTTGATACGAAAGTGCTATATACATATGTACATATATATCCCCGAAATTTTTACAAATATGCAACCACTAAATAATAAAATCATGCCATGCTTTTCTCACTTTTAAGTCATTTGAAAATGTATACGTGTAGGAACAATGCGTAGAAGTTTATTTCCATTTATTTAATTTTTACCGATGTGGAACATTGTATCAAASTACTGATAAGAGTAATTCAAACCCCATACACTTCGGCATAAATTGTTTTGAAAGCGTTGTTAAACTCACAAGAGACTGTGTCGACAAAAATGTATATGTGTAGGTGAAAACAAAATCAAATTAGTCATTTAAGTGTAAGCACAAAACAAATGGTATAAATTCATTTTGTGCCGGCATAGACATTTATCTTTAGGAATTGTAATTTCTTAGAACTATGCTCTAGTATTTGTTGGTAAAGACATTTTCAAAATTTATAACTCGTTGAGATTTGTTTTGATTGTTTTGTTTGGTTTGTACTGTGTTCTACTAAAGCAAGAAAATATCAATATTAGAAATATGTGTGGGGACAAGAGCATCTAAATATTATATAACATCAACAAATTACTATGTGGTTGCATGCACTTATGTATGTAGTGAGGCGTATACATAAGTGCTTTGGGCGTCTCGTTTAAATGTGTACCGCACGATTATAAACGACATTTCCATTGACCGTATCAAGCTGCGTGGCAAAAATCACACATTTGTTAGCTCTAATTGAACACTTATGGAGTTGTATATATGTTCATACATATCTACATTATAATACATTTCACCGTCAAATTTTCAAACTTTGCTTTCGTTATAAACGTTAGTATTTTTGTGATAGTCTGACATGACTAATATCTGGCCTAGTCGAATGCTTTAGTTGCTACTTGGATGTTGTTTTGGTTTTATTGTGTTTGTAGAAACAAAATGGATGTTGTTAGCTATATACATACCTATAGTTAGTGTTATTTTGCAAAATCAGGCAATGAACTTTAAACTTCAAATGTGGAATTAGACTCATCAATGAACATATATTAAGTTTTGAATAAGTATCTATCTACATAATTAATGCTACATAATTATAAAAAATTTGCCATTGTTTATAATGATTATATAATGTAGTATAACTCAGAATAGAACCATTTGTAAAAATTGCAATTTTCCGCCTGGAATTTTACTGTGATTTTTTGGCGTACAATTGTCAACATTATGTGTATATATGTATATAAAGAATGTATTTAATTTTAAAGAATACATCTGTTTTCTGTTTCTAGAGAGTCTACATAATTGCTTATATGTATTTGTAGATTGATAGTTGCAATTTATTTTTCTTCCAAAGAACCACCGGTACGCGCCGACCAGGAACAAAATGTGGAAGTGCCACAATATTTGCCAGATCCACGTGATGGCAGCATTTATCAGCTTAGCGATATGGGTAACTTGAAGAAATTACCCTACACTATACCACAACTGGTGGCTAGCGCACCCTGTCGTTCGTCCGATGGCATACTATATTCGGGAAAGAAAAGCGATACTTGGTTCGCGGTCGATCCGAAGTCGGGTAAACGCGAGACTGTTATGGGTTTCGGAATGGATACCGCTGAAGCTACAGAACAAAACGAGGAAAGTAAGAGTAAAGCTACGCATAGCACATCGCGTTCAATTTATTTGGGACGCACGCAGTACACCGTCATGATGTACGACAGTTTGGCCAAAGGGAAAAATGTTAAACCCTGGAATATTACCTTCTACGATTATAGCGCACACACAATGACGCCGGATATATCGAAGGAGTATGGTGAGTTGAGTGAAAAAGTATGTCTTATAATATATATATATATATATATTTATAATCATTAGAATATCTGCATTTAACCACCACTTCGAATGGTAATATCGTAACTTTAGATAGAAAGAACGGCAAATTTTTATGGAAGCGCGATTTAACAAGTCCAGTGGTGGCCGCATTTCTACTCGGCTCGGAAGGTTTGTTAAGTGTGCCCTTTACTACCGTTTCCGATGAGGCTTTCGAATCCATTATAGAGGAGTCCAAAACGGGCAATGTGAATACCATAAAGTTGTTGTAAGCTCAAACAAATGCAAATCAATGAATAATATTTATATATATGTACTTTTTTGAATTYGCAGTCAATCGCTTTACGTGGGTGAGCACAGTCATGGCTTATATGCTTTACCATCGCTGGTGGATAAGGACACACCACGCATTTCGGCAAGCCCACCTATAAAATTGTTGGATGGCCCCAACTCCGCAGAGGAATCAGATCCTAAAATGGTATATATCGATGATGTGATACGCCAAAATGCTGGCATTGTGCTCGGCCATTACAACATGCCGACTGACAGTAATTTGCAAATATCACCCTCGCCGTCGAACGTTGACAACAATCAAGGCTTAGCCACCATCAATAATTTTCCCGATGTCACTACTATGGGCTCAAATGGCTACAGCATAATCACAGGTTCGAATAGCGAAAAAAACTCAGCCGAAATTGGTGTACAAACTGAGCCCGTTATTGAAATGAAAATAGAGTCGACAAATGCTTTTAATAAGACAAAAAAGATCATTTTGGCGAATAGCAATAAAATACAGAGATTCATCAATGAGTGGTTTATGGAGCATCCGAGTGGAAAAGTGCATCAGATTCTCATTGTTTTGGTCTTGGCTATGGTCGCCATGTTCTGGTATATGTGCAGCACTATGCGTGAGTTGAAGAATCAGAGTGAAAACGGCTCGAAAACGTACTCATCCTCCAATAAGAGTAGCAGCGGCAGCAGCAATGTGAATGCATTGGACCTCATCGATTTGGGCGACGGTAATATACGTGTTGGCAAAATATCTTTCAACTCGCATGAAGTGCTTGGTAAAGGTTGTGAGGGTACATTYGTGTTTAGAGGCACATTTGAGGAACGCTCTGTGGCGGTAAAAAGGCTGCTGCCCGAATGTTTCACATTTGCCGACCGTGAAGTGGCCTTGCTGCGCGAGAGTGATGCGCACGAGAATGTGGTGCGATACTTTTGTACCGAACAAGATCGCCAATTTCGCTACATAGCGGTGGAGCTTTGCGCGGCCACTTTGCAAGATTATACAGAGGGTGAACGAAGCGCTGAATTGCGCACGCAAATCAACGTGTGGGAGGTATTGCGCCAAGCGGCAGCGGGTCTCAGTCACTTGCATTCATTAAATATCGGTGAGTGACATAATTTTGGTAACAGTGCGAAGCTAACGYGTTAACTAATAACATATTTGATTGCATTGCTTGCAGTGCATCGGGATATTAAGCCACAAAACGTGTTGCTTTCACTGCCCGATGTTAGTGGCACCGTGCGCGTGATGATATCTGATTTTGGTTTATGCAAGAAGTTGAATTTTGGCAAGACCAGTTTTTCACGACGCTCCGGCGTGACCGGCACTGACGGTTGGATTGCGCCAGAAATGATGCGCGGTCAGCGTACGGTAAGTTGCAGTGAKGCTGCTATTATGTGGACTTTGGAAGTRTGTGAACTRAAATTAACKGCACATATTTGCTTTCTACTGTGCAGACAACCGCTGTGGACATTTTTTCCCTTGGGTGCGTCTACTATTATGTGCTTTCCACTGGCCATCATGCGTTCGGTGATGCGCTCAAGCGACAGCATAACATACTAACACATGAATATAATTTGTTAAAACTCAAAGTGGACACAGATGATGAGGCAAACGTGCCAGAGGAGGCTAGCAAGTTTGTAAGTACAACAAATTTGTATGTCTTTCATATTAGCTGATATCAAAGTCGGTGTTTGGTGTTTGGTGTTTGCTGTTTGCATTTCATAGATACTTGCCGAACAGCTGATAGCAGATATGATACACAAAGATGCACAAAGTCGCCCGTACGCGCGTTGTATAAGCGCACATCCAGTCTTTTGGAATAATCAGAAGATTTTGGCTTTCCTACAGGATGTTAGCGATCGCGTTGAAAAGCTACAATTCCATGTGGAGCCATTGAAGTCGCTGGAGAAGAATGGTCGCTGCATTGTGCGCGGCGATTGGAATGCACACGTTGATCCGCTCATAACGGAGGATCTGCGCAAATATCGCGGCTACATGGGCGCCAGTGTGCGCGATCTCTTGCGTGCRTTGCGCAATAAAGTGAGTATAATGCAAAGTTTCYCATTWCACATTTGTCTACAAACTACATTTGTATTTGTTCGGTACGCCAGAAACATCATTATCACGAGCTGGCGCCGAAAGTGCAGCAGAAGCTCGGCTGCATACCGAACGATTTCACGAACTATTGGATTAATAAATTTCCCGAGTTGATATCACAYGCCTATCATGCGTTTAGCATATGCGCCGAGGAGCCCATCTTTAGGCATTACTATAATGCCGATTACCACTTCAGTCGTCCGTGGTATTTTGATGCGGATGAAAATCTCTTCCCATCGCTACAAAACGACCCCAAGCATTTATTAAAACAAAACAAAGATGGCAGCGCCAGTCCGAAATGGCTGCCGCGCACGCCCGAGAAGCAGCAACAATTAAAACAACGAAAGGGTGTTTATAATTTCCGCAAAAGCTCGGATGCGGATGTAATTGGTGTGGGTTTGCAAAGAAATTTGAATTTATCGACGCCCAGTGCCGCGATGACAGCGGAGGGTGAGGATGAGACAGGCAATGGCAATAGGCGTGATGTCTTTGCTAACTTCAAATTTCGACGGAACTACGGCAAATCAACGAACCGTAATTACGACAATATAAACGCSAACGCGAATAACGGTGGTAATAAAGAGAAGAGCATCACATGGACATTGCCTGGCAAACAGGCCACTGAGGAGTGAATAAGAGCAGTAAAATAATACCGTAGTATTTAAGAACTGCGAGTAATACTATTTTTAAGTAGACTTATAGCGCATATTTAGTCTAAATTTATAAGTTATTGTAACATTTTTGTAAGTTTTACTACAAATAATGTTATGTTGAGCAGTTGGAGTACAGTGTAGCGTTCTCCTGGTGGAGTGCAATGGCAAATCAGACTTTCTACTTTGAAACAACGCGTCTCTACTTTTGATAACTCTTAGTTTGTTGCGGAATTGCGTATGTATTGCAAATTTAAAAACGTATTAGAAATTGTAAAAGTAAATTTGATAGGCTTTAATAGATGTATAATATTTATAAATATGTTTGAAAGAAATATTTCTCGGACTTAGAAATCGTACTAATGCGTTTAAAAACTGCAAAAAAAAAATGTTTTAAACATGTTTAAGCTTAATTTGAACTTCATGCTTAGTGCAGTCGCAAACAGATTGCCTTCTCCATTTTAATTAATATACTTTTACCTCAATGCACTTAAATATGCTAGCAAAAAATTAATTTGTGTACGCATATAAAATGTTGGTTTTCAATTATTGAAATATTAATAGTTTACAATTTCTTTATTCCAATTACGAATGAATATTATCACTTTATGTGGAAATTTTTGTGAAGAAAGTRAAAAAAAAAAATTATATTATGAAATAGAAAAWGCAGCATATCCAGTCTRCAGTTAAGCGAAAGTGCTAAAAATAATTATAAATGAAAAATAATTTATAGCTTTCAAACAAAGAACAACAAATACGAGAATTTGCTTATCTATAAAGTAATATTCTGCACTGCAGCGTKTTTATTACCAGCCAGGCGTTGCTTATCAATTGCGCAAATATTTGTATATATTTTTGGTGCTAATATTTTTCTACAATCGACAGCAAATACTCGGCTCTACTGTAGACTGCAAACAATTGTTGTTTTGTTGTCAGAAAAGGTGTCTGTCAAATGCACGTAATTTGTCTGTGATAACATTTATTGTTAAACTTAAGAAATTTATAATAAATAAGTGCTTACTGTTTAAGCGTTTTCAATTGCAAGCGTTCAAAGGAAAACAATATACATTTCATATATATTTTTATACATATGTATTTATGTATATCGTCACTTAAAATGCAAAATAACGTAACATCAGTTTTCATAAGTTTACTGGCGAATTAAAAACGATATAATAGCAACGACTAATATCGAAACCAAATTCGCGTTTCGGTTATAAAATATATAATTTATATATCGGTTATCATACATTCATTGAAACAGAATTAGAGTTTTCGTTATAAAATGTGAACATAACTGACAACGATTTCAATTTTTTTAATGATACGTTGTTTTGCATTTTAGTTGATGATATATAGCATAAATAATGCCTACTATGTTCCCTTGTAAATTTTGCTCTCAAACTTACCAAATTCCATTTTTTATTTTTTATTTTTTATTTGTTTTACATTTAATAAAAAAAAATTTGTACTAATTAAGTCCAACTATTGTACTTTGTTGATCAATTGTTTTATTTTAGCGCTTGCAATAAAACTTAGTAAGGCATAAATAAAATAAATAAATAAACTATGTAAATATACCGTTATTTGTGTATGCATGCACTTGTAAATGCACTTTTATGCGACATGCTATTTCATTATTACTTTATAATTAGCCTAAGTTCATTAAAAATTTATTCCTGACAATTGTAACCAAATATCTAACTGTATCTGCGTATTTACTACTACTTTTACTTTTTTCCCGCAAATAAATATTAGTTAAAAGAAACCAAATTATAGCTTTTTATTATCACGTTTTTATTTATTTATGATCTTTTCTTTTTTTTTTTGCTAACAATTAAATTTTACTTAAACGCTCATTTCGCACATACATTTAAGTATATATGTATGTATTTTTTGTTTGTATAGCGTTAAGCAGCCGAGTGCCTGCACTGCGTTCAACATTTAACAAATAATATTAGCAATGAAAAATTAACTAAAATTAGTCAACAAAAATACAATCGGCAATAATTAAACAAACTCACAAACATAACATGGCGATTTCATAAATAAGTTTATACATATATAATTGTAAGTCATACATAAAATAATTTTACTACACACGAAAATATTAATTTTGCATTTGCAAAAACTCAACTTGTTTGAAAATTTGTGAAATTTAAAATAAATATAAAATAATAAACACAGATTTACATATGCACATACATACATACATATACAGTATATGCAGTAATTTACAATTATATAAATAATACATAATTTGCTAGCTAACTTTGGCTTGCCTACAGCACGCG